AAGCAACACTAGTTGTTAAGGGTTGGGGGTGGAAGGGATGAATGAGCAGGGTACAGATTTTTAGGGCCATGAAAAGATTCTGCATGAGACTTTAATGGCGAGTACACGTCATTACACATTGTCTAATGCATAGCACATACAACACCAGAAGTGAACACTAAGGCAGACTGTAGGCTTCGGAGGATTATGGTCCAGACAGGTTCACCAGGGCCTCATGTCCCAGGTGGCGGGGAAGATGGTAATGAGGAAGTTATGCATGTGTGGGTACGGGCTGAAATGAGAAGTCACTGTGCCTGCTTCTCAATTTTGCTGTGAGCTTAAAACTGCCCTAAGGAAAAATAAAGTCTTTAAAAAGAAAACCCACCATTACTAGGAGGAGAAAAATCTAATCAGCCAGTATGGTGGGAGAGTTTAATGTATCTCATTCAGTAACTAAGCCAACTAAAAATTAGTAAGAATGTAGAAGATTGAATAAAACATTCAATAACCGTGAGCTAATGGACTAATAGAGAACCCCACCTCAATAACTTAGCAGATACACAGTCTTCTCAAAACGTGGAATATTTATCAAAACCTACAAGTCATATGCCAGAGTATGGATCAATGAATATCGAAGAATCAGGCTTACACTATGTTACATACCTAAGATGCAATTACATTAGAAATCAACTAGAATGGTGTGAAAATTTTCATATATAGAGAAATTCAAAAGGCACACTTCCATATGGATCAAAGAAGATAATGGAACTTGTTATCTACTTAGAATCGGATAATATTGGTAAATATGCATAAAAACAAGACACATGGCTAGAGCAGTATTGGAGGAAAAGTGGATTGACTTAAAAGTTTACAGTAGAATAAAAGCTAAAGCTCATGAGTTAAGCTTTCAACTCAAGAAGCTGGTAAAACAGGATAAATTTAAAGAAATTAAGAGAAAGGAAATAATGAAAGCAGAAATGAAAAATACAAAAGAGAGGAGCAACAAAGCCAAACAATGGTGTTTCTAATAAAAGAGACAAAGTTCTGACAATTTTCATTAAGAACAAAGTAAAAAGACACAAAAAACAATATTAGGGGTTGCCCTGCTCTGGTGAAAACCTAAGGCCCCACCCCTTACCAGGTAACAGGCACGCTGAGAACCATAAATAAATAATGCCCAAATGAAAGAACAGATTAAAGCTTCAGAAAAAAATACAACTAAGCAATGAAGAGGTAGCCAACCTATCATATGCACAGTTCAAAACACTGGTAATCAGGATGCTCACAGTACTGGTTGAATATGGTAGCAAATTAGAGGAAAAAATGAAGGCTATGAAAAGTGAAATAAAGGAAAATGTACAGGGAACCAACGGTGTTGGGACAGAAACCGGGATTCAAATCAACAGTTTGGAGCAGAAGGAAGAAATAAACAGTCAGCCAGAACAGAATGAAGAAACAAGAGTTCAGAAAAATGAGGAGAGGCTTAGGAACCTCCAGGACAACTTTAAACATTCCAACATCCAAATCATAGGGGTGCCAGAAAGAGAGAGGAAGAGCAAGAAATTGAAAACTTATTTGAAAAAATGATGAAGGAAAACTTCCCCAATCTAGCAAAGGAAATACACTTTTAGGAAGTCCAAGAAGCTCAGAGAGTCCCAAAGAAGTTGGATCCAAGGAAGAACACACCAAGGCACATCATAATTACACTAGCTGAGATGAAAGATAAGGAGAGAATCTTTTTTTAATTTTTTTTATTTAATTATTTTTCAAGTACAGTATTCTTTTACTCCCATCCCAGCCCACCCCCCAACGTGCTCCCCACCTCCCTCCCATTTCCACCCCCCCTTAGTTGTTGTCCATGTGTCCTTTATACTAATTCCTGTAAAGGAGAGAATCTTAAAAGCAGGAAGAATAAAGGAGAGAGTTACCTACAAAGGAGTGCCCATAAGACTGTCAGCTGATTTCTCAAAAGAGAACTTACAGGCAAGAAGGGGCTGGAAAGAAGTATTCCAAGTCATGAAAGGCAAACCTACACCCAAGATGGCTCTATCCAGCAAAGCTATCATTTAAAATGGAAGGGCAGAAAAAGTGCTTCCCAGATAAAGTCAAGTTAAAGGAGTTAATCATTATCCAGCCCGTATTATATGTTAAATTGACTTATCCAAGTAAAAGAAGATCAAAGATATGAATAGGCTCACAGTTATTAACAACTGAACCTAAAACAAAAACAAAGGCAAACTAAGCAGGAACAGAACCACAGAAATGGAGATCACATGGAGGGTTATTGGTGGGGGAGGGGGAGAGAGGGGGGAAGGTACAGAGAATAAGAAGCATAAATGGTAGGTAGAAAATAGACAGGGGGAGGTTAAGAATAGCATAGGAAATGTAGAGGCCAAAGAATTTGTGTGTGCAACCCATCATGGACATGAACTGAAGGGGGGGAAGTGGGTGGGAGTGGGTGTGCAGGGCAGAGGAGAATAAAGGGGGGAGAAAAAAGAAAAAAAAGAACAATATTAGGAATGAAAATGGGAACACAACTACAGAAATAGAAGAAATTTGAAAACTTAGCAGATAGAGCCAATTTCCCAGAAAAACCTAAAAGCAAAACTGATGCAAAAAAATAGCAAATTTTTTAGTCCAATAATCATTAAAGAAATTAAAGAACCAGTAAATATTAACATACACCGTTTGAGGAATTATAAACCTTAGCTGTTTCTAGAGAGCAATCTGCAAAAGTGTTTAATTGCTGTGAAAGTGATCCAACAATATCATTCTGGGAATCACATAAAGAAGAATATAATTGGAAAGGAAGTTAGGTATAAGAGTACTGATAGCTATGCTATTAATTCATCGAAGAAATGAAAACAGCTTGGAGGAACACTTAGGCAATGGCTAAGCAAATCTTGTTATGTGATGGAGCCACTAAACATGGTAAAATTTTCAAACTCATAAGTTTTAAAGGCTAAATGGACAGATTTGAGCACGTCAAAAGTTTAAACTTCTGGGTGTGGCTCAGTGGATTGAGTGCTGGCCTGCAAACCGAAAGATTGCAGGTTCAATTCCTAGTCAGGGCACATGCCTGGTTTGCAGCCTAGGTTCCCCAGTTGGGGGTGTGTGAGAGGCACCAATCAATGCATCTCTCATACATTTATACTTTCTCCTGCTCTTTCTCCCTCCCTTCCCCTCTCTCTAATGAGTAAATAAATGAAATCTTTTTAAAAAGTTAAACTTCCGTGTCATGAAAGATACCATAAGGAGACAAATGATAGCGGACAGGGGGAAATGCAGCTAGGGCTCAGGGCTCCCTGGGTTCTCAGTAGGGAAAAGCTCACCACCAGCTAGGCCTCAGCAGGGGCTTGAAGACAGAATCTCCGTAGAAACCCCAAGGAGACTGGGTGGAAATCCAAGAATGCATATATGTGCCTGATGCAGGAGGATTACAGAGAGGGCCCTGCCCACAGAGCGCCTGTGCCATCGGGAAGCAGTGGCTGAAGGAGGGTCTAGGAGAATGGCTGCCTCACTCAGTTCTTTGTATTCAGTGCTACTGGTTTGAGGGGTCGGGGTGCAGGGGTGAGCTGAGGGGTACAGGCTCCTAGATGGAAGGAGGGTACATTATGGCTGACAGGGCCAGCGAGCCAGAAGGAGAATGCCAAACGGTACGGACCATGGAGCTGGAGGCCACAAGGGACACCATGGGAAGCACCAGCAGGAGTTAAGGCCTTCAGTGGCAAAGACCAGGAGGGCGAACATCCGTAGGGAAAGAAAGTATAAACATAAGTTCGTAGAATAACAATACATGGTATTCATTTCCCTCTTATTTATTAAGCACCTACTATACGTGAGGCGCAACCTGATAAATTAATATAAAGTAGAATTACTCTTTTTCCTTAAAGCTTGTAAATGCACAAATTGGAAAAAACACCAGTGTTAAAACAATGATTAAGAGAAAGACAGAGAAAAACAACATTGCTAAGAAATAGAGGGCATAGCCCCAGAGTTGGGGGTCCCGAGCTCAGGCTGTCTAACTTCAAATCCAGGCTCTGCAGCTCTCTAGCTGTGACTTCTGTGTTTCAGGTTCTCCCCCTGCAGCCCCTCATGGGGGTGTGTGGTCAAGGTTCCAAGATATGGAGAACCCAAGGCCTGGCCTTTTTCCTTCCAGAAGTTTTCCCGACTGCTCTGCAGTAGCTACACACAGACCCACCATCCTGGTCTCCCCATCTGAAAACTCTCCATTTGCGTTCTCCTCCCCATCTGTTTGCTGCCGGGACCTAGGCCAACAGGAGGCTCTGGAGTAATTTAAATCTCTCAGAGCTGTCAAAACCTATCACTCAGGCTTCACATGTATGTCATCGGCTAGCAGTTGTCTTCTAGCAGAGAACAAATACCTCTTGTGGTAGCAGCAGTTCCGACACAGAGGGGATGCACCCCTCACCGAACTACTCACTCGGGAAGCCAACTGAGCCGGTTTGAAAAGCAAGACTACGGATTCTTCGACACTGTGCCACAGAAGCTCAAGGCTAATGCACCTTTCCTTGTATAGGAGCTGGACTTAACGACCCAGTGCTAATGAGTAGATAAAATGATGCTGCCTGACTTCCAAGTCGGCCGCAAAAGGCCTGTCACAGAGCAGCCGCTGTCCCCCAGGGGCATGGGGAGGAGGCCGCGGGGAACGCGGGTGACATGCCTGGCGGCCGTGGGATGCTCCTTGAGCGGCTCAGAGACTCCAGGATGTGGCAGGGGCCTTTCACCTTGCATAACTTCCCATCCGGTGCGAAAGCTTCCTCCACGGCGTCCCTGTCAAAGGCCATTCAGCCTCCGCTTGACTTTCCAGGACGCGAGCCCAGCACCTCCCAGGGCATCCATTCCACTGCGGGCTAAGTCTGCCCCGAGGTTATTCGGGACTGAACCTTCTCCCTTAGCTCACCTCTCTGGTGCCTCCCAGCACCGCCTCCCACCCCCCCAGACCACCTCCCACCCACGCCCCCCACCCCCAGCCGCAGCCGAAGAAAACGCGAGTGGCCATGGCCATGACAGCCACAGGGTCCCCCGCCTGGGAGCGGGGCTCCATCCTGCAGCTTCCAGCCTCCCGGTCCCCTTTTCGTCATCTGTCAAATGCGGGTGAGACTCCTGCCGGGGCCCTTCTCCCGGGCGCAGTCGGGGCGACCGCGGAGACAGCCGCAGGGAAAGCGCCGGGAGAACCTCCTCCTCGCGCGGGGGGGAGGTGGCCAGGCCTCCCGCTCCCTCCTCCACCTGCTCTCCCGGGAGGCCAGGGCCTCGGCAGCGGCCGCGGGAGCCGCGGGGATGCAGCGGGGCTGCGCCTGCAACACCCACGCCGAGAGGCCAGGGGCCGCCCGGACCCCGCGGCCCGGCTGGGGTGGGGGTCCCCGGCCGGCACCCGCAGCCCGCCCGGGCCGGGCTCGGACCCACCTGCGGCGGCGCGGCTCCAGCTGGGGGCGGCTTCGGAGTCGCTCGGGGCCGTGAGCCAAGCTCCTCGCCGCCCTGCCCGCCCCCGGGCAGCTCCACGTGGCCGCTCCACGTCGCCCTCCCGGCCGCAGCCGCCGCCCTGGCCCGGGCAGAGTCCTGGGCGCCAGCTCGAGGGCAGGGCAGCCGCCCCGCCCTGACCAGGGACCCGGGAACCCGGCTCCCCTCCGCAGCCTCCACCAGTCTTCCTCCGCTGGGTCCCCGCGAGTGAGTGTGAGTGTGTGTGTGTGTGTGTGTGTGTGTGTGAGAGAGAGAGAGAGAGAGAGAGACAACTAGACAGAGAGACAAAGAGGCAGATGGTGAGGCTGCCGAGTCCTACAAGCGTGTTTCGCTCGGTGATGCTGTGGGTGCCACTGCCCGCAGGGACAAGACAGAATGTAACTTGCCCTTGATGTGTGCGGGTGCGACTGGTGTCTGCGGCTGTGTGCTTGGGGAACTTGTGACAGAGCAGGCGGTATTTTGTGTGACTGCGTGACCAGTGTGACAGCGTGGGCTTGAAAGAGTATGGCCCATGTGTGACTGTGTGTGGCTGTGCCAGAGGATATCAGTGTCACGTGTGTTAGGGTGGCTGGGCCAACTCTTGCTGAGTTGTTTGAGATACTCAAGTGACAGACAGCTTGAATATCTCGCTTTCCAGCAACAGTGTCACTGTGCGGCTGTGACTGTGCACATCATTGAGAAGTGGCTCCGTATGAGACATGGACGGGGTTGGTCTGGAGAAAGTGTCTTGAGGGCGATGGTGGCAGTTGTTTGCCAGCACAGAGTGCCACAGAGTGTGGCCGCAGCTCTGCGTTCAAAATGGAGTGTCCTGCATTTGTCACAGTGGTTGGTACCCCCACAAGGCTCCAGACTGCATCCTCATCCACTGGCCCAAGGACTTAGTTCTTCTTTTTTGAAGAATTTCAGAGACAGAGAGGAACTGAGAGAGAGACAACAGTTAGTTGTTCCACCCATCCATGCATTCACTGGTTGATTCCTACACGTGCCCTGTCCCACAGAAACCTTGGTAAATCGAGATGATGCTCTAACCACCTGAGCTACCCAGCTAGGGCGGGATTTAGTTTTTTGAATACATGACTTCTTATCTCTCTGGAATCTTCATCTTCTGCCTCTCCATCAGCTGCTTCCCATCAGCATCCGTCCCTGCTCTCACCAAGGTCATCCTGTTCTCTTTCCTGGGTGCACACTGATGGACACTACCTCCTTGGATCACAGTCTTCATTGGTTTCATCAGCACCATCTCTCTCTCTCTATAGTCATTTCTTCTTAGTTTTTTTCATGCTTCAGAATTCCCCTGGGCCGTTTCCTCACTCTCCATCTGTCCTTGTGTTCATCTGTTCATGTGGCTGCCATCACTCTGTATTATGGGTTGAACTGCATCCAAAATGTATGTGTTTGAATTCTAAGCCCTACTACCTCAGAATGTAATCTTTGGAAGTAGAGTCACTGCAGATATAATTAGTAACTATGATGTCATACTGAAGTAGGGTAGTTTCCTAATTTAATATGACTGCTATGCATATAAGACTGTGGATAAACACACACACACACACACACACACACACACACACAGAAGAGCATGTAAAGACACAGAGATTGTAGTGAAGCTTCTGCATGACCAGGATGACCAGGAAGGCCAAAGATTGCCAGCAAAGCATCAGAAATTAGTGAAGAGGCATGGGGCAGATTCTTCCTCATGGCTCTCAGGAGGAACCAATCCTGCTGACACTTTGATCTTGGACTTCTAGTACCCAGAATTGTAAGATAATAAACTCCTGTTGTTTAAGATAACCAGCTTGTAGTACTTTGTTATGGCAACCCTGCAAACTAATATATTATCTAAGTACTGATGATTACCGATTCTCACTTTCTAGTCTCTAAACCCCAGACTACATCGGAAATTGAACAGCATGCTGATCTGTGCCTGAATCTTAACGTATAAAGGTGACTGAGTGACAACATGGAGAGGTCAATGCCATTGAAAGAAAAGGTTAATGTTACAGTTTCCCTAGAAATAAGAGGCACAGCTTTCCCACAGGCCCACAGTGAGGAGCACCAGGGTAGGTGAGAAGGCAGAAAGTAGCCAGGCAAGATATAGGTCACAGCCTTTGTTAAGTGAGAAAGGTGAGGCAGGGCCTGGCAAACACCTTTGGATTGGCCAGTTTGAATATTTCTGGTGGACTGTGAAGGAAAGGGGCTGTCCCTGGCTGTCTGGTACCCAGCCCTGTGATGATTCAGCAGAAGGGAAAACACTGGTTTGGTATGTGTGAGTTACATGAAGGAAGTGGCTCAGAGTAGGACTCTGGATAGCAGGGGTGATGGAAACAACTTTGGCCATGAGTTTGGCTTTGTGATAATGCACACCAAACAGACAAATACAGAATCCAAAAAAACACAATTAGAATACCTACCAGCACCCTGACCTCTATGTGTCTGAGCCAGAATGTGTCCCCTTATCCCTCACACCATGCGCTCCCTCAGTTTTCCTATCCCAGAAGCAGGCACTGCCAGGCATCCATGAACCAGAGCAGTCAAAAACCTGGGGTCATCCATGACTCCTCCTTCTCCCCACACCTCCTACCTACTGTGAATGCAGCCTCCTAGTTTGAAGAGCTTCACTCCTGCCCCAGTCCAGGCAGCCATCATTCTGCCAAAGTTCGGTTTACAGCTCCCTAATTGGCCTCTCTGCTTCCATTCTCATCCTCCTCCCATCCATTCTCCAAGTACCCTGAATGATTCTTCTGAAACAACTCTGGCCCTGGCTGGTGTGGCTCACTGGATTGAGTGCAGTCCTGACGACAACCGAAAGGTGGTCGATTTGATTCTTGGTCAAGGTACACGCCTGGGATGCGAGCCAGGTCCCTGCTGGTGTGCAAGAAGCAACCAACTGATGTATCTCTCACACGTCTATGTTTCTCTCCCTCTCTCTCTTCCCCTCTTTTTAAAAATAAATAAATAAAATCTTTAAAAATAAAACAACTCTGAGTATGTTGCCCACCCCTTCATAAAACTCTGATGGCTTTTCTCCACCTTCAGGAAAAACTCTAACATCTTTATGTAGCTATTCACACTCCGCTCCTTGACCATCTCCTGTGCTCCTGACCAAATTTCTCGTGTCCTTCAAGAAGTCTCTCACATCCAGGCTTCTGCTTAGGCTGTTTCCTCTGTTGGAACAACTACTCTCTGTCTGCCTCCCCCTTGCCTGGGAAACTCCTCACTTTTCGGTTTCACCTAAAACGCATTGTCATTTAATACTGGGCACGCTTTCTCTGATCCCATGGCGTTCAGGAACCCTCCTCAAAGCTCCTGCTGCAGCAGGACCTTCCCTGACCTACAGCACACCCCGCTGCGGGGGTTGGACCCTGACTGCATTCTTGGATCTTCCAGAGAGCTTCTCAGTTACCTTGCTACTTAGTCTGGGCTCCAGACAAACTATATTGGAGTTGGGGCGTGGACACTGCTCGTTTTTAAAGGCCCCAGATGGCTCTGATCTTCGGTCAAAGTTGAGCGCCACTGCGCTGGTGGCAGACTCGTGTCCACCTCCCGGTGAAGACAGGGGGCGGCACCCCTGGGGCGCGCCAAGCGCCTGGTGGCAGAGGGGAGGGGTGGTATCTGCTGTATTTCCTTGACAGGGATTACATCACACAGAGCGACGTTGCACGAGAGCGGCTTCAACTCGTGTGTGTGTGTGTGTGTGTGTGTGTGTGTGTGTGTGCGCGCGCGCGCGCGCAACCGTGTGGAAGCCGCCCACTCTGTCCTGGCCGAACCCTGATCACATGACTACGAAGTGCTATCGCGCCCGGTGCGTCCGGGGTGAGGACCACTGTGAAGGGTGTCCCACTGTGACGGGAACCGGCCATGTCCCGAGAGCAAAGGTCACTGCGTGGCTGTACTCTGTGTGACAGGGCACAGCGTCGCCCCTGGAGCCGCCGTGTCCTAGGTGACCAGGCTGCCTGACTGGCCGCCTCTGCCTCCAGGGCAGAGTGCGAGGAAGGGGCTGGCGGGGCCTCACCAAGATGGCGGCGGCGGCAGGGGCGGCCGCCAGTCCTTCCCGGGGGCTGCCCTGCCCGTGACCGCGAAGCGGAAGCAGGAGACGGGGAGGCGCGGTGCGGAAGCCATTTGCAGGTCACTCAGTTCAGCTCCGCGGGGCACGGGACGCGGCACCCCCAACCCCGCGCGGCCCTCGCACAAGCCCTGAAGGCTCGCACACGGGGAATGGGGCGGGGGTCACCGGACCCCACCCCGCCAGCAGTGGAGGCGGGACCTGCACGGGCCGTCCAATAGCACGCAACGGGTGGGTTCTGGCACGCACCTGCAGGCCTACAAGTCAAAGTCAAGGTGCTGGGGCCAGTCCAGAACCTGCGAGTCGAAACCCAGCAACACTATGCTGAGCTTCTCCCCAAGCCCTCAGCATGGCACCTGGACAGAGCTGTTCTTTCTGCTTTGGGGTCTTGGCGCTGCCCTCTACTTGGGCTACTACTGGGCATGTGTGCCCCAGGTGGGTGTGGGTCCAGAGCTCTGGTGGGTGGGTAGGGGGTACTTGGGTCTAGGGGATACTTCAGGGGGTATTTGGGTCTAGGGAAAAAGCTCAAGCCTTTTGCGGGAGCTGGCATGATTGGGCCTCCCACCCCAGGTGAAATTGGATGCTTCAACCCCATCAAGCAAGCCACCGGCCCTGCGCTCCCGCCAGGCTCCTCTTTGCTTACCACCTTATGAAGAGTAATTTCTTTGCCTGCCTAGATTCTCTGCATCTGTCACGCTTCCAATGCCATCTGGGCCTTGCAGACACCAGAGGGGTGCTGCTCCCTATGGCATGCACAGACTGGGAGAAAGGTGGGTGGAAGGCGTCCTGCCACATCAGGGAGACATGCACACTAGGCTTTCCTGTTCTTTTCAGCAGTCAAGCTATGTTTCTCAGTAGGTGCACTGAATGAAAGACCCTGAGGCCTGTGGGGTTGTGGCCAACTCCCAGCATCACTCCAACAGATAGCAGGGCCTTGCTTCCTTCAGGACTGGGGGAGGTTCCTTTCCCTCCTGGCTCAGGATTAATGGGTAACCCTAACTGCGCTTGCTCATTCAGCCTTGTTTTAAGTTCTAGGCTCTCGGAGTATAGTACAGTTAAAAATTCTGAAGAGGTTGATTTTGATAAACTTGGAGATTATATCCTCACTGAAATTTAGATTAAATACCTAATTTACATATCCAGAAAAATCTAAATCTTTTTATACTCATTAAATTCTGTTCCAAGTAAATGAGTCAACAAGAAACCTATTGATTCAAGCCCTTTAAACAGATCAACAGGGAATTTTAATGTCACCTGACTTTTCTGCATTTTCAGAGCTTTCAGCATTCACATGTATTTTTTAATAAAACAAGTCTGCCTTAAAGCAATTTAAAAAGTTCAAACCTCACAAATACTCTATAAATCCTTACTTTATACAATATGTCTGATTTGGAAAGTCACTCACTTCAGACCATAACTATGCATTTTCCTTTGCAACAAGCCACAGCGAAGTCCGACCTTTGCCACTTCACATTCCAAACCCTCCCCTGACTTCCCATCCTGGTTAAAATGCAGGGAAGGTGCCATTCTAGAGGCCCTGAAGCCACAGTGTTTGGATTGTGCAGCACAATGGATAGGTATTTATTGATCCTTAATTCTCAGGAATGAGTCAGTACTTCACTATAGTTAAAATGAAACTAACCTACATAAATCAAACCTGTCACCTAATTTACTAGTACCTTATTCTGCACCACTGAGCTATTTGTTCAAGGACTTAATAAACTGATAAAAACTGAAAATCTTGGCGATTAGGAAGTAAGGCAGTACAGTGACTAAGAGCACTAGCTCTAGACATGTTCCAGTTCCCCCACTATCTTTGGCAAGCTTCACGACCTTTGACAAATTACTTGGCTTTCAAACCTGCATCCACAGAGGGATCACATTACCTGTCTCAAAGGGCTGTTAGGAAGACCACAGGACATTATTATGTAAAATGCTTAGCACAATGCTTGGAACAAAAGGAGCACTGAACAAATTTTACCTACTACTATTAGTGGTGATATAACTATTAATTCTGCTTTGCCTCGTTTGCTATGTGGTTTTGGAAAACAACTACATTTCTGTGAGCCATAGTTTCTTCACTCATAAACTATTGGGCTTAGCCTAGTGCCTGCATATAGCACACAATGAATGAATCACAGGTGTTATTATTCCAGGGCTTGAGAACCAGGGTTCGACTCACATCTCACAGCAATCACACTACCAACCTGGCCTCTCTAGTTCGTAATTCACCTAGACCCCTTTGCTACCAAGACTGCAGAAGAGATAAGAATCTGGTCCTCAGGTTCCTTAGGTCCTGCAACAGAAATGCAATTTCTGTTTCTTGAGTCTGAAGTCTTTTGGCTTTGTACAGCATACTCCTTCAGAAGCCTTCTGTGGCCAGTCCCTCTCACTCCCTTGGTCTGCTCAGAAGAACCAGGCAGAGGGGTTGTCAATCAGGCTCAGGGCCCACTTGCCTCACCCCACCCGTCCCAGTCCCATTATCTAATCTGTTATCTCCTTCCTGGCTGGTGTGAAGCAAGAGAAAAACCTGTTCACGTGGCCTAAGGTCTGGGGCCAGAGTGAGGAAGTGAGGCACTGTGGTAGGAAGACGCCCTTCAGTGGTAACCACATCCAGTAGGGAATGGAAACATGCAGTGCTAAAATCAGGGGGAACCAGTGGCCAGACCTGGTTTTGGGAAGATGACAGTGTGGAAACTTCAACTGCAAGGCAAAAGGTCACAGATCGAACGGTGCTGCATTTCTTGAGCTTCTGTCTGGGGTCCCAACCCTCCCTGCCAGGATCAGTAGGGCAGTTTACCTACGTTGCCTGCTATCTCCACAGTGGGGTGGTTCACAGATAAGCCAAGTGGGGGAGTCAGCCCCAGCCAGCTGCAGGAGCTCCCAGCCCTGTTTCTGAGCCAGTGCAAGGTCCCTCCTGGAGAGGACAGCTCCAAGACCACAGTCCTTTCAGCCCTAGCTGGACTATGTTAACAGGTGGCTGGGCCATTCCAGGCCGAGGTCTGCCCGATTTCTCATCCCCAGCTGCAGCAGCAGTGCCCTCCAGGCTGCCCTATGAAGAGGGGCCGCCGGTGTCAAGTGCCCTCACTGCTTTGGCACAAAAATCAGGAGAGTGAGGCAGATCATGTTGTGATTACAGAGACCTCGACTGGTAACGGGGTCCAGGTTCCTGGCCTTCCTGGAGCAACACTGTCCAATCACTGTGGAGACTTTCTACCCTACGCTGTGGTGTTTTGAGGGGCGGCTACAAACCATCTTCCGAGTCTTACTGCAACCTCGGCCTCCAGTCCTTTACTGGAGGTAAGGTCAGAAGGGGAACACCAAGCTGCAAGTATAGGGGAATCCTGTCTACCTCTTTTGAAACTAAAGCGATCTTGGCTCCCACCTCAGTGTGTTGAGGCTAAAGACGAGAGTGGCTCTGTGGAGGGATACCTAATTGCACAACCAGGAGGTAATATTTAACCTGTTCTGTCCCCTTTACACTGTAAGTCTTGTTTTGCCGAATGTATGCCCGCAAATGATGCTAATGGGAAGTCGTGGGAGTTGTTGGTAGGGCGGGGAGTAAACCTCTTAAATGCAGAGTTCCTAATGGTATCTGTGTGTGCCCTTTCCCCCAAACCACAGTGAGGTCCTCCAAACCCCAGATGGAGGACAGCTGCTGCTAGACTGGGCCGGCCGGCCCGGCGGCAGTCGGCACCCAGCCCCAGCCACGCAGCCTGTTGTACTGCTGCTTCCTGGGATAACAGGCAGTAGCCAGGAGACCTATATCTTGCACCTAGTTGACCAAGCTTTGAAGGATGGTTATAGGTAAGGATGGCACAACCCAGAGGGGTGGGGTGGTATCTAAGAACTGGTAACAGGGAGGTCAATTCAGATTCTGATAGTTACGGGGAGGCGGTGCTCTATGAAAGATACATCTCACTGGGCTTTCTGAAAGCTGCCAAAGGAGAGCAGCTTTTAGGGAGAGTCTGGCTAGGATGTACCTGTGTGCCACAGGGCTGTCGTTTTCAACAACCGGGGCTGCCGTGGGGAAGCACTGCTGGTGAGTACCCTCTTTCCTCATAACAGCTCTTCACCCCTTCCCTGGAGAGACCCTTGGCCCTGAACTTCTATTCATTTACCCTCCCATTTTCTGCCATCTGGCCCAGGCTGCCCTCCCTACCCAATGACCTGGTTTGCTTCAGACCCACAGGGCCTTCTGTGCTAGCAACACTGAAGATCTGGAGATGGTTGTGAGCCACATAAAGCGCCACTACTCCCACGCTCCACTGCTGGCTGTGGGCATCTCTCTCGGAGGGTAAAGGCTGCCTGGGCTTAACCCAAACACCTGGCCTCCCAGTGTGTTCTCCTCCACGTCTTCTCCCCATCTCCTTTGTCCACTCACTAATGCAAGCCTTTCTTTCACTGCCACTGGTCCAACCATGCAGGATACTGGTACTGAACCACCTGGCACGGACAGGACGGGCTGCAGGGCTGGTGGCAGCACTGACTCTGTCTGCATGCTGGGATTCCTTTGAGACCACCAGTTCCCTGGAGACGCCACTCAACTCACTGCTCTTTAATCAGCGCCTCACTGCGGGGCTCTGCCAAGTTGTGGACCGGTAGGGTCTTGGCAAGTGGGATGGGGCAGCAGACCGGGTAGGATGGCACATGGGCCAGGTTCTCTCAGTGCTTAGGTCAGGTCCAACCCGGGCTCTCTTTTGCAGAAACAGAAAGGTGATGGAAAAGGTGGTCGATGTAGACTTTGTGCTACAGGTATAGTCTTTCAACCACCTTCCCTCCACCCAATTCTTCTAATATTTCCTATTCCCTACTCTTATCCTAGCCTACCCCACCTTCCCCACCTTCCACCACCCACAGGCCCGCACAATCCGCCAATTTGATGAGCGATACACAGCTGTGGCCTTTGGATATAAAGACTGTGTTACCTACTACCACGCAGCAAGCCCAAGAACTAAAGTAGCTGCCATTGAGACACCTGTGCTCTGCCTCAATGCAGCTGATGACCCCTTCTCCCCAGCCCACGGTGAGCATGCTCAACCTTGATGCTTTAGGCGCCAAGGACAATGAGCTGTGAGGTGAAGCGGAGAGGGCCTGGGTTCTCAGTAGAGGCCTGGGCTCCTGACCTCCTCTCCAACCCCTCCCCCAGCCCTTCCACTACAGGCTGCCCAGCAATCTCCTTATGTCGCACTGCTCATCACAGCCCAGGGTGGTCACATTGGCTTCCTGGAAGGGCTGCTCCCCTGGCAGCATTGCTACATGAGCCGCCTCTTCCATCAGTATGCCAAAGCCATCTTCCAGCACCCAGCAGAGCTGCTCAGCCTCAAGGCGCTCTCAACTCCTGAGGGGGACAAGAGCTGACGACAGTGCCATTTAGGGACTCAGTTAAGTCTTCCCTTGTTTATTAAATATCAACTTTTCCTGTCCAATGGGCTGAGGTTCACTTTCCCTTTTCTCAGGGCTAGGGTAGACCACCAAGGAATTGACTGCATCTTTAGCCTGGCTGACCTAGAGCTACTCAGCTCAACCCACAGATTACTGCCGGGGTTTTCCTTTTGTCCCTTCCTTCCCTCATGCCAAGTTCCAGGCCGGTGCTTGGCCCAGCAAATGCAAGGGGCTCATGGGAAGAGCAGCTGGCCCCAGTGGTGAGGGTGGAGGGGAAACAGATCACTTCCGCAGGAAGCACTGACCCCAGATTCTGGGGCATCTTCACGTATCTCTGGAGAAAGGGTAAGCTCAGGAGCCTCCAGTGAGCAGAGGAGAGGAGGCAGGTGGTATGGCCTGGACTGCAGATGCCAATGTCCTAAGTGGATCCAAAGATGACGAACACAGGGTTCCCAGAACTCAGAGTCACACAGGGCCACAGCCAAGCTTTAACTGGGCAGGGCAGACAGTTCCGTCAAGTCTCATCAGAGGCCACCTCAGCTGTGGACCCAGGCAGAGATGGAGTAAACAATGGAGTCCAGGCTTCCACTTCAGTCCAGAAGGTGGCTGAGTCTAGGCCGCCGACTCCCTGGGAGCAAGAGGCTAAAGAAAACCTGGAAAGGCACTCTGGAGCAGCAGGATAGTCGTGAAAATAAGTCCAACACATAGCAGCAGCAGTAGCCACACAGGAACACTCCCTGCAGGGGGTGAGGGAAGAAGGCAGTAGGCAAAGGGCCCTCACAGCCCAGTAACCAGAACCCTCGATCGACTCCATTCACAGAGGGGGCAGCTGGCTATAAATAAGCAGCCCACTGTTCCAGGAAGCAAATTTTTGCTACAGATAAAGGTTTGGTAGTACCTGCCCACCCCAATGACTCACGTCGTGAGGGTAGCAGATGCAGCTGGCAACGACTATCCACAGCCACAGAAAAGAGGGCAGTTTCATGGGACCCAAGGAGCTCTGGACCACGACCTTTCTCAGGTAGAAAAGCCACATCCGTCACCACAATGCCATGGGATTCCTTCACATAGTAGAGGCGCTAGCGACAGGAGGAAAATGAGTGAGGGAAGCCCCAGGTGGGAACATTCATTCTGGAAAACATGCCCCTGCACCCCAGAAAGCTTTCACTCTATAGGCTGGGCCAGATTCCTTCCTGCCCTCAGGGTAGAAGGCCTAGAGTCCCCACCCAAAGGGCCCTCTGGGCTATGCCCACCTCTACCCATTACCTGGAGAGAGAAAGCTATGTAGATGGCCACAGATCCAGTGACCGTGCCCAGGCCTAGGAAGGTGCCCGAATCACTGCAATGAACAATAAAATGTGCTCTGTCCTAGAGGCCTGTACAGCAACACTCACTAAAAACAGTCCTCAGGCGGGACCCCTCCTGCTGTTCTGCCAGCCACCCTCACACCCAGCCAAGCCAGCTCTGTCTCCAACCTGACACTAAGGCAGGAGATGACTTCATGGCCACAGGGTTTGGTCCGAAGAGGCAGGAAGGTAGAGCCATCCCAAGCTGTGAGGTAGCAGGGTGGGGGCTGGCGCAGACGCTTGTGGGGGATTTGCACTGTGAAGAGTCGCAGCCCGGCAGGCTGGTCTGGAACCTGCCCAAACCTGGAAGTCAGTAAGAAGCCGTTTAGCCCCTGGGGCCTGCCCAGCCCTCCACAAGAGTTCGTACCCTCCTGTGCCTTGGTCCAGCATGAGGTCACACCCGCCAAGGCCACAATCTTCCCCAGCTCCCCCTGAGGCTTTTCCTAGTCCCCCACCACATCTAGGTGGAGCCTCTTTTAGCCACCCTCCAGGACCTCCCCACCTGCAGGCCTGGTAGCGATAAGGCGTGTTAGAAAAGGTGGGTCCATTCTCTTGCCAGTGCAGCTGTGTCACCTGCTGATCCTTCTGCCACACGAAGGCCTTAAGGTCCCAGCCCACCGTCACCAACTAGTCAGGAATCAAGATTCCAAAGAAGGACAGTTAGAAGATCCACTTACAGAAAACGAGCAGCATAACCACCTACTTTCTCCACCCTCTCACCTCCTCACCTTGCCATCAGGCCCCAAAGCCAGGTCCTCAATCTCCCCTCCATGGGCTTTGAATTCCAGCACTTTCTCCAGGCTGGGCACCTGCAGCCAAACCACCACTACGGTCAGCCCGAGTACCCAGCAAGAGCGGCCACGACCTCCACCCTCTTCTCTTCTAAGGGCCACTCAGCACAGACTTCCCTCACAAGTTCCCAGAAGCCATATTCAGTTTCTCACAGTTCTGGCTGTGCTGCTACCAACACGTATCCTCCCTAACCCCCCCCAAACCATACCTTCCAGACACGAACACAGCCATCCGTGCCCCCGGTGGCAAGCAGGGTATTATCGTGGTTGTAGCATACAACTTTCTGCAGTGGATCTGGGCTGAAGTCTGTCTGCACCGCCTGCAAATTCTCTACTCTCAGTCCTACCCCCTCCTGGTGGGTTTCAGCTCCGGATTTCTTCTCTGTTGGGGCTGCCCCCTTTCTCTGTCGAGGCCCCTGCTCCTTGGAACCTGCAATACACACAGCCCACCAGATTCTAGGCTTCTACAGCAAATAATACTGGTCCCCTCTCTACAGGGCTGGTGAACATCCAGCTTCCTGCCTGCTACCATAACCCCACTTCCAGCCCCACTTTTTCAGAGACCAAAATGAGAGTGTTCTGACTCATTTAACCCTTTTCCCAAAGCTAGAGAGACAGCTTCTCACCTGCTTTCTCTGCCTTGTTTTTGCCTTTCTGTTGGTGGAACTGGAAGCGCAGGAGCTGACAGCTGGCATCCTGCCCTGCAGCAAGGATGTTACCAGCCAGAGCCAAGTTCATAGTAGCCCGTGTCTCTGTGTCATGGGAGTGTAGTAAGGCAGCGCTCAGATGCCCATTAATCTGCTCTAGCTGCAGAAAATGCTGTGGGAGAGGGACGCGGGCTGAGCAAGGTCCAGGGCTGCCTGGGGTTTACCGCAAGCGCAAACGTGCGTCCTATGATCTGGTGGTACCCTACCCCTCCGTTTACCGCACTTTCTAGCTCACAAGGCTTTTTCTAACCCCCTACGCCCTCTCTTATTTTGAACCTCACTAATCTGTACAGCAGGCAGGGTTGGGAGCATTGCCTCCAGTTCACAGAGTTAATGGGCGACGATTAGGAAAGTGAAGAAAAGCTAGCCTAGGGGCCAAAAGCAGCACCGTCCCTGCTGTTGGAGGGCAGGCGGCCTCTGTGGCCTCCCCGGAAAAGGCCAGGATAAGACCCCCGTGGCTGCTCCTAAGTTAGAACTGAAGCCCCTAAGCAGCACTGTTACAGTTTTCACTTTACCTTAGGAGTCCCTCAATCGCCCTGTGATCAAGTTCTCCGCTGAAATTCCCGTCGGGATGCCCGGCTTGCCGGGGATTTCCACTGGGCAGCCGGAGGTGGGGTGCGGCCCGCCCCCGCGACCCTCCGAGAATCCCCCTCTGCCCAAGGTGTGACCCGGCCAGAGTGGCAGTGCGCTCTTACCACTCCATTCTTTATGCCCGTCTTGGCGGCGCCTCCTCCGCCCGCAGCGATGAGCAGCCCCGTGCTGGGGTCGACCTGAACCGCGTACAACGGGAACGGGGCCCGGTACAACTCTGGCGCCCGGCGCCGACCCATTCCGCTCTCTGCGCACTTCACTGTCCGCACTGCGGGGCCCAGGACATGTCGCTTCCGGCCTTCGACTCTTGCCCTGGCTGCTGCTGAACCCAACTCTGCCTCCGCCGGGAGGACTCCCGACCCCTCTCACACCCGCGACGTTGCCCACACTCGAACCACACACACAGTAACCCCCTATCCCCGCCCCGGTCTCGCAGACGTTCAGTACGCAAGCGCACCCAGCGCCCTCTCATCGCGCAGGCGCAGAACCGCCAAAACGCGTCAGCACTAAGCGGGTCGCCGGGCGTCCGAACACCTGCGCGGGGATTCTGTTCTCCGCCCCATTGTGACGTCAGATTCCGCCATCTTTCTGCGGGGCGGGTGTCGAGAGCTCCTGCGTCCCCGGAAGACCTTTGGTGATTTGGGAGGAGGCGGAGAAGTAATAAAGGTTAAAAGAGAATCCGTGCGTTAGGGCTGTGGCCTCCCCGGAAAAGGCCAGGATAAGAGTCTCGGTGCTGTAAAGATTTAATAAATCCTTGGATTAGAGCTGTCTACCTTCAAAGCCGACTCACACTAGCGCAGTCTTGACGTTTTACCCTGGAGATGCAGTGGTTTGTCCCAAGTTCTTACACTGGAAATGTGACCTGTGTCTCCTGCCTCTTAATGGAGGCAGTGCGGACTTTAAAAACAAACCTGGCTTTAAATCCCGAAATTGCCCTGTGGGCCGCCAGTTTGATTCCCAGTGAGGGGTTTGCAGGCCAGGTCCCCAGTGGGGGAGCCCACGAGAAGCAATCATGCATTGATGTTTCTCTTCCTCTCCCCCTATCCCTCTAAAATAAATATTTAAAAATAAATAAATCCCCCCCGGGTTAGTGGGTGGGGGCTGCTCCCCTCTGACATCCTCAGAGGCAGGCAACTTGACCCCCCAGCAGGGCAGATCTAGGGTTCTTCTGGTGTTCTCTGTAAGGGAATGCTAGGAGTGCCCTTTCCTGCAAGGAGACACCTCTTGCTGTTCCACGGGCCTCATCAGCATGCACCCTTAACCTAAGGTGCACCCAGAGGAAGGGACTCAGTAGTTTCAGGCTTGAGGGATGCCGTTACCTGTCTCATCAAATTGAATTAAATGTGTGAAGGGCCAGTCAGAGCCTTCTGTAAACCCAGGCGTTCAGGCCTTGTAGGCCCCATGCCTTTTCAGATACATGGCATTCATTCTCCTTGGCCACTCTATGTCCTTTGACTCTCCCCCACCCCTTGTAAGGTTCTGGCCCTGCTGTAGGTACCCAGTGTGTCTGCTCAGCACGTCGCGAACACAAGTTTTGCAGT